GTAAACAGATCTGAAATAGATGAATGTTAAGTTGGATATAATTTGAAAAAAGAATTAGTTTCTATTTCACAAAGACAATCCTGTTCAAAGTCAAGTAGAATTTTTAAAAAGAGTAAATTTTATAGTATCTCTTATATTCTTTATTTGACTAATTTATCATAAAATAAATATAATTCTTATAAAAAATCACCTCTAAACAGCAAACTACTGTTATCCCTTCAAAAAATACTTTTTTATTTAATGAAATCATTCAAACAGGCAAAGATTTTTATTTTAGAAGCAGGATATATAATCTATTGTAGCATATTTAAAAATTTCCCTTATTTAGAACATTTAGATTTAGAGAGTTTAATAATCAAAAAGTTTACTTTTCAATTGGGTAAAATCATTTCAACAAAAAATATATTATTTTTTAAGTTAATTCTTAATGAAAAATGTAATACAATTTTAAATAATATAAAGTATTACTCTTTACAATGACTGAAAAGTCGTGTTTTCGAACAAAATTTTCTGATCATTTATTAAAGAAGTAAATTTTAAGCTACTCTTTTGAGGAAATAAATATTATGTTAATCAATATTAATCAATACTAATTATTTGAATATCTATAAAACTAAATTTAAGCCTTTATTTCAATTTTTATAAGGTCTCTTGTACAACCTTATTATCAGATTAATTGTCCAAGTAAATATCAATTGTAAAATGATATTTTAAATTTACTCATAATTTTAAAAAATCCTCAAATTTTTCTATTAATTATAAATTTGAATTTTAGTGAATGTTAAATTTTCTCATATCTATTTGCAATTTTTGTTTTTATATATTTTTAGAATTATCGTTTATCAATATGAGCCAGATAATGATTAAGTTTAGTTATGCCTGATTCTTTTTTTTAATGAAGTAGGGTGGTTAACGTTCGATCAGTTTATCAGTTTAAAAGAATATATCCTTCTCCTTCCATAACTTAATTTCTTAACTTGAAGCATTTGTAAAATATTTAAATTACAAATGCTCCTCTTTCTAAGTTTAATTATTCACCTGAATTATTATGTATCTACCACCATCATTAGATCCATTTACTTTTTCATCTAAAGTAACTTTTTTTTATTTCTTAAAATCTATTTTGCCGTATTTTAAAGAATTTGTTAAATTTCATTCTAATTAATTTATATGAGTATAAAAAAATGAGAAACATCATCATTTCTGAAGTATTAATACTAGAAAATAGTAAATAAATCTACCTTTTTCTCATAAATATATTTATTGATTAATTGATATTTAAATCAGCAAACACTTGTAGCAGGAACTCAAAATCATTTATCAAAAATGGTACTGCAAATTATTAATATTTCATTTCACACTAGAGTTAATAAATTATATTTAGAGATCAAATGTTCTTCTAAAAATTCTATTCCATAGAGATAATTAGGTAAAAAAATTGATTATTCTTGTAATAAGGTATAATATTTGCATTGATTTATATTAAAAAAAAAATATTATTTTAAGATTTATTTTGAAAACAAAATATAATTGTATTCAATTTTACAGAAATAATGCAATACTATTATAAATTGTTATAGCAAATTTGGCAATTATTAATTAATTGAAGGCTTTAGAATGCACAATATTTTGAGATATAGAGGACATGACGAACCCATTAAATAATTAGAAGAAAGTATCTTTTATAATATATTGTATATTCCTTTACAAGTGGCCTTTTTTTATTGATTAAAAATATTCTCTCTAAAAAACAAGAATTGAATTTTCATTTAATCCCAAATTAATAAAATTCATCTTGAACGCTTTTTATTTTAGGATAAATTAAAACATCATCCACATTTTAATGATTTATAATACATTTCACTTTTTTCAATGAGTTTGATAAAGAACTTTTTGATTCAAAAGAATTTTAAAAGACAATTTTAAGAAGATAAAACTGAAAATTATTTTATTTTAATTCCTTAATTGATTTAAAAATAAAACCTACTTAATAAGTTTATGCCAAAAGATAAATCAAGTAATATATATTAAAGTTATTGATATATTTTCACAACACCTATAAAATTGGTTTAAAATTATTATTTGTATTATTTTAAGAATAATTGATAGATTTATTTAAAAATTGATCTTTATAAGTCTAATAAAAGGATGTAAATATTCATTTAAATTTATAAATTACTTTAATTAATGATGTATATTTTATTGAACATTTATGTTGTTCATTAAAAAAATTTAATTAGCTTTATTTTGCTACTTTAAATTTATTTCCATTTTCTGTTCCTAATTACTACTTATATATAATTTAGGATAAAGTATTGTATTCTGCGATTGCTTAAATAATTATTCACTTTAATATTACTTGTTTGTTTAATATTTGATTTGCCATTCTTTCACTATTTTTTTTCATATAATTTAAAATGATTGATGCGTCTCCAGTACTTGCTGCCCAGTACTCGCTATCTCTGAATTATTTATCTTCTTCTGTCAACAATTAGTCTACAAAAAACTTAAAATTTGATTCTGGTTTGTCAGTCAAATTTGATAAAAAACTTTTACTTAATTCAGGCTTACAATTTATATCTTTATTAATAATTGAACAGGAAGTATAGAACTGCATTTGAAAATATTGTTCAGTCTATTAATCTTTCAGTAAATTTTTGTTCTTTCTATACTCAAAACCATAATCTAGAGCAGTATTAATTAAGTTGAAAGTATTTCTACCTCCAGGTAATGCTCCTAAGGTTGATAATCCTGCATTTACAACCTTTTGAAAAAATAATTTCGCATTATTCTATATCACATTCTATTATTGCATTTTTATTAATTTAAAATAGATTCGAGGAAATCTATTAAATTGAAAATAAGTAATTATACAATGTCCAAACTAAAGCATTAAAATACATAAATTAGTTGATATTTTCTTTTTTATTTAATTGTTTTAGAGTTTCAGAAACTTAAAAATAGTCTTATTCTAAAATTGAATTGATTTTCATTTTCATATCAGAATTTTCATCACTCAGCTTAATTATTTGATTTTCAAGATCATTAAATTTTTGCTCATAAAGTGGTTTATTAATATGAAATTAATTTGTTTGAATATTTTGATTGATATAAATGTTTATTGGTTTGATTTCTAAAATTAAAACATGTAAAATCATCTAGGCTATTCCTTTATATAATTAGTTTTCTATTTTGGTAAAATTTTAGATAAATATTCAATTCAGTTGGTAAGATAAAGTGAATAGTCTGGTTATAAAACGAGAGCTTTATTGAACTTGAAGGGCTTTTTATTTTCTCCTTGTTCTTCAAATAGAATTCTTAAGTATATAACTAGATGATAACCTAGGTATAATAAGCAGGAGCATAATTTTGATTTAATTTGATGGCTATGGTGTGATCTTGAAGTGCTTTCTATTTATCTCCTAGTCCGTTTTATAGAACTCCTAATGATCTTACTAGATGGATTACCTCTGTTATTATAAACATCAGCATAATTTAGATTCAGTTTGATAGAAATGTTGTAGTCTTGGAGGGTTTTTCTTTTTCTCCTTGTTGATCGAATAGAACTTCTAATTATGTAAAATCAGTTGAAATAAAATTCTAATTTTAGTCACATAGGTTCTCTTATCAATAATTTGTAATTACAGATATCCAAGACTTAATTGATCTACCGCTCAACACCAATTAATTTAATTGCCACTTATTGATAACCTATAATTAAGGATAAATATTTCTTCCTTATAATCTAGATAATTATTATAAAATTTGCATCCCTCTATCTAAAAATAATAATATTTCATACCTTAACCCATTTTTAAAACAAACAATAATTTTTAACTTAATAAGTATATTTTTATATTTTAGAATTATCATTATAGAATACTTCAAATAAAAAAGTGAAATATTAAGAAAGACTTCAATGAATTAACATATTATTAATTTAAAATTTTAAGAATTAAAGTTTTATTAGTAAGACAAGATGGGAGTAGATAAATTGAGAGAAATACTTAGCTAATCAAATTGATTGTCTTTTTTATGGATAAATAAATTAGAGTAAAAAGTTTTATGATATTTGGAAAATATAACTAAATTAATAATCATAAAAATTAAAAATTAATAAGAGATGATTGCTTCTAGATTAGTATTCCTTCATAATCTATTTCATAATTTTAGCAAGTAGTTTTATCAAATTAGGAATATACAATACAACTGTATGTTAAATTGGTTTGGTAAATTATTAGATTAAATACAATGGTAGATTAAAAAACAAGGGTCATAATCATTTTTTAAAATCAAATAAAAAATCAAAGAATTATTGAAAGGATTTCCTGGTAACGGATAGATGACGCTAATGTCTTCGAGGATCACAAGGATGATATCCTTAGATTGCAAGGTAAATAAAACAAATTATCAACATTATTAAAATTACAATTATTATTTTGGTCTGATTCAAAAATTATTAATTAAATTTATACAAAAAATACTATAATAACTATTACTTTGTGTTTTCTTTCTTAAAATCCTTAGTCATGTTAAATCTAAGAAACTATCGTTTTAAATATAAAATTTTTTAAAATGACCAAACAAGAATTTGGTTGAATTGATAATATTTAAAAAAAATAAATTATGAAGTCTGAATTTCAAATTATTGTTTAATTGATAATTTCAAGATGAAGGAATATGAAAAAATGCTGTTATATTAAAGATATACTAACTATTTTCTTAATGTTAATTGTTATCCTAAATAAAAAACTTAATATCTATATTATATAGGAATTACAATAATATTTGATCAACATGAAATCATATTTTAAGGAATATACATGAAATTAAACAGATTTGATTGGGAATCTTGAAAAGAATGAATTTATTGCCATAATCAGTTACTTATGTTCATTTGTTATCAAATTTTCATTTTTTAATTGTTAAATTTGTTTTTCTTTTACTTAATTAAATTCTCAAAAGTTAATAATATATTTATAATTACTTTCCTTATCAATTTCTTCTCTCATAAATTTTAATTTAATCAAAATACTAGACAAAGCTTACTTTAAATTTAGTTAAATTCAACAAATTTATCAAATGTTACAATCTAGCTAAATTTTTAATTTTATTTATATGTAAGCAAATTATATAATTAAAATGATTACAAATTTTATAATTCATTCAAACAGTTTTTCAATTTCATTAACATTCATTTTTAACCATTTGCCAACTTTAATACCATTTTAATAATTCCCATAATAAATTACTTAGGAATTCCATTTAAACTCCTCACTCATATCAATCCATCTAACAGTTTTAGTCCCATTTCCTCCTCAATCATATGAACCTTCACCACTATAAAAAGATTTAAACTAACTAATTTTTTACATTTAATTTTCTTAATAGATCATATTTCAAATATCAACTTTAATACCATTTTTATATTCACCATCATAAGTTACTTATTTATTTATTTTTGATAATACTCATTCTTTCCTTTTTCCTAATTTTTTGGATTTTTTCTTCTCCTTAACAGTCTTTTTCACCTTGGGAAGATCTTTAAATTATTATTCTTCTTAGATCGGATGCTATTCCATCTCAATTTTCTACAGTTAAGGTGTACCCTCATGCGCCTAGGTCTAACACGCCATGGAGAACTAGCCAATTTGACTTCTCAACCGGAAGAAAGTTTTGACCTCATAACAACTTCTCTTTCAAAAAGCAAGTCAACTTTCATGACTGTTGAAAAAATTAAATAACTTTT